CAACAAAATTGAATCGGTAATAAAAAAACTACCTAAAACAAAACCCCAAACCAGATGGATTCACCGCTAAATTTCATCAGACATTTAGAGGAAACATAATACCCATTCTTCTTAAAGTTTTCAAAAAAATAGAAGGGGAGGGAATACTTCCAAACTAATTATATGAAGCCAGCACCACTCTAATACCAAAACCAGGCAAAGACCCCATAAAAAAAGAAAACTACAGACCAATATCCCTGATGAACACAGATGCAAAAATACTCAACAAAATATTAGCAAACCAAATTCAAAAATACATCAAAAAGATCATCCATCATCATCAAGTGGGATTCATCTCAGGGATGCAAGGATGGTACAACATTCGAAAATCCATTATCACCCACCACATCAACAAAAAGGACAAAAACCACATGATCATTTCCATAGATGCTGAAAAAGCTTTCAACAAAATTCAACATCCATTTATGATAAAAACTCTCAAACAAAATGGGTATAGAGGGCAAGTACCTCAACATAATAAAGGCCATATATGACAAAACCACAGCCAACATTAAACTTAACAGTGAGAAGCTGAAAGCTTTTCCCCTAAGATTTGGAACAAGACAAGGATGCCCACTCTCCCCACTTTTATTCAACATAGTACTGGAGGTCCAAGCACAGCAATCAGGCAACACAAAGAAATAAAAGGCATCCAGATTTATAAGGAAGTCAAAGTGTCACTGTTTGCAGATAACATGATATTGTACATAAAAAACCCTAAAGAATCCACTCCAAAACTACCAGAACTAGTATCCGAATTCAGAAAAGTTGCAAGATACAAAATTATTACACAGAAATCTGTTGCATTCCTATACACTAACAATGAACTAGCAGAAAGAGAAATCAGGAAAACAATTCCATTCACAATTGCATCAAAAAGAATAAAATACAGGAATAAACCTAAACAAGGAAGTGAAACACCTATACCCTGAAAACTACAAGACACTCTTAAGAGAAATTAAAGAGGACACTAACAAATAGAAACTCATCCCATGCTCTTGGCTAGGAAGAATTAATATTGTCAAAATGGCCATCCTGACTAACACAATTTAAAGATTCAATGCAATCCCTATCAAAATACTGACAGCATTCTTCAATGAACTGGAACAAATAGTTCTAAAATACATACGGAACCACAAAAGACCCCAAACAGCTAAAGCAATCCTGAGAAGGAAGAATAAAGCAGGAGGGATCTTGCTTCCAACTTCAAGCTCTACTACAAAGCCACAGTAATTAAGACAATTTGGTACTGGCACAAGAACAGACCCATAGACCAGTGGAACAGAATAGAGAGCCCAGATATAAATCCAAGCATATATGGTCAAATAATATACAATAAAGGAGCCATGGATATACAATGGGGAAATGACAGCCTCTTCAACAGCTGGTGTTGGCAAAACTGGACAGCTACATGTAAGAGAATGAAACTGGATCATTGTCTAACCCCATACACAAAAGTAAACTCGAAATGGATCAGAGACCTGAATGTAAGTCATGAAACCATAATACTGTTAGAAAAAAACATAGGCAAAAAATCTCTTGGACATAAACATGAGCAACTTCTTCATTAACATATCTCACTAGGCAAAGGAAAGAAAAGCAAAAATGAACAAGTGGGACTATATCAAGCTGAAAAGCTTCTGTACAGCAAAGGACACCATCAATAGAACAGAAAGGCATCCTACAGTATGGGAGAATATATTCATAAATGACATGCGATAAAGGGTTTGACATCCAAAATATATAAAGAGCTCATGCACCTCAACAAACAAAAAGCAAATAATCCATGGGGAAGGCAGTATAATAACACAGAGAAGACAAGTAGTAACTCTATAGCATCTTACTACACTGATGGACAGTGACTGTAATGGGGTAGTGGTGGGTACTTGATAATGGGGGGAGTCTTGTAACCTTAATGTTGCTCATGTAATTGTACATTAATGATACAAAAAAAAAATCATTAGGAAAAAACCAAGTATAGTATGTGATGTAGAGCAGCCAGAACTCTCATACACTAGTGGGAGTAAAGTAAATTGGCAAAACCACTCTGAAAAATCAGCATTATCTACTAAAGCTGAACATACGCATATTCTCTGACACAGCAATTCCAATAGAATATACCCAACAGAAAAACATATACATCATCAAAAGACATGGGCAAATTAAACTACAAGTGCACATAGTATGGGGAACATATCACAAAATAACTATGAGCTAAAGAAATTAGACAACAAAAGAATACATACAGTATTGATTCCATTTACATATAGTTCAAGAACAGGTAAAAGTAACTTATGGTCTTACAAGTCAGATCAGAAGGTTATGTAAGCGACTGAAAATGAGCATGGTGGAAGAGGGAGTGTTTCTAGGATGCTGGTCATATTTTTTCTTGAACTGGATGCTGGTTACATGGATATACTCTCTTTAAGAAAAGTCACTGAGTTGTACATTTATGATTTATGCACTTTTCTGTATGTATGTTATTTTTCAATGAAGAGTTCAAAAAATTAATCAAGAATCCTTCTGAAGAGGTAGCATAAGGAAATCAGTAGATGCCAGGCCTCTTTGTACTGTTATCCCACTTTCTTACCCTTGACCCAGAATTTCACCTCATTGCCTGACTTCACCATGCAAAAGCTTTGGCTTCTAGGAGATACCCACTACAGGCTCTCAGTATTGCAGATAGAGCAATCTGAAACACACACACTACCCAGTCCACACTAGCCACACCCAAGGAAAACAGATAAGGAATTTGCAGGAAAAATTATAGCAGATATTTACTGAGCCAATATGACAGAAGATGGAACCAAAGGTCTTGATATATTTATTTCATATATAATCCTTACAATAATCCTAAAAACTGCTAGTACATACTAAATGTGCAGTAGGCACTCAATAATATTTGCTGAATGAAAGGCAGAAGCTATTAGCACTGCAAGATGATCACTTGTACCAATGTCATAGAGAACAGAATAACCTTAATTCAAACCCTGAGCCACCAGATTCCAAAGACTATGCTCTTAAGCACTTTACCTTAAAACACCTTGGGTGGAAATGGATAATGTTAATATACGTCTTAGAGAGCATGAGTCTGTTGTGCCTAAAATTTAGTCAGGTTTCCCAGCCACTGGCTAAGAGGTCAGATGGGCTACAATTTCTTTACCTACAAGACGGGGATAAAAATAGAATCTTCCCTTTGTTCAACCAACATTTATTAATCACCTGTTACTTACCCATGATTTATTAATATCACCTATGATTTATTAATCACTTAGAATACTGAAGACTGAGAAAATGCAAATGGTAAATTCACTTCTCCACTCCTTAATCCCTTGCATTTATCTTTAAGGGACAATGGTTTTCATTTTGTTTTGCTTTGCTTTGCTTTAAAAGTTTGATGTTATGAAGCTCACATACAATTCATATAAAATTTGCATTCAATTTCAGGGGATTCATAAACCTTCTAAACTCCACATTTTGCCCTCTGTTAGGTTAGAAACTGTTGCAGAGGTACTTAGCAAACCATGCTTTCACATGGGCAACCTCCACTGCCACTCAAAAGCACCCAGTACAGAAGGGATGAAGGTACCATTTCTACAGATAAGTAAAATAAAAAACTGACATATTGCAGTTTTGAAGATGTTGCCCAGAAGAATCTCGTGTCTTTTGCCCCTAAGTTCAGTGTTTTTCCAACCATCATAACAGAAGGTCCTTCTGTTCTGGGGTCAGACTAGAGGAAGTAGAAGAGGGGCCATCAGACTTCTCTTAAAAAGAGGTGCATGATCCCTTCGTTTATTTCAGCTAAGATAGGGAAGCAACCTAAGTGTTCATCAGTAGATGAATAGATAAAGAAAACTTGGTACATATACACAATGGAATACTATTCAGCCATAAGAAAGTAACAAATTCTACCACTTGCAACAACATGGATGGAGTTAGAGGGTATTATGCTCAGTGAAATAAGTCAGGCAGAGAAAGACAAATACCAAAAGATTTCCCTCATTTGTGGAGTATAACAAGGAAGCAAAACTGAAGGAAAAAAATAGCAGCAGACTCACAGACTCCAAGAAGGGACTAGCGGTTACCAAAGTGGAGTGGGGGCGGGGGAGTGGGTGAGGAGGGAGGGAGAAGAGGATTGTGGGGTATCATGATTAGTGCACATGGTGTGGGGAGGATCACAGGGAAGACAGTGCAGCTCAGAGAAGACAAGTAGTGACTCTGGCATCTTACTACACTGATGGGCAGTGACTGCAGTGGGGTGTGTGGGGGGGAGTGTGGCGGGGACTTGATAATATGGGTGAATGTAGTAACCAAATGTTTTTCATGTGAAACCTTCATAAGAGTGTATATCAGTGATACCTTAATAAAAAATAAATAAATAAATGGGGGTGGAGGGGTGGGGAAAGGTGCATGAAAGCCCAGCAGTTAAGCGCCGCTCATCTGGGGAAAAAAGAACAGGGAAGGAGCCCAGGCCTTTTAGTCACAAAAAGCGATCTGTCTCTGGGCGCAACCTCTGCATCCGTAAAATGGGGTAATAACTTCTTCTGCTCCAACTTAGTTGCTACACTACAGCCCGAAGGAGGAAAAGATTCGAATGCTTCACAAGGACAGTGCACATGGAAGGTATGGTTGAGACCGGCACAGAGAGTCTCAGGGCGCTGACCGCAGCACGCTCACGCTTCTCAGCTGTTGGCTTCCGGCTTCCCCACTGCAAACTCGCAGCCCTGGCGGAGCGGGAAGCCTTTTAGAAATCGGGATATAGAAAAGAAAAAGGCTCCTAATCGACTTAGAACAGTGCCTGGCAGAAACGGGGGCTTAGTAAAATCTGCTGCATGAATACTGACTGAGTCTACAGAGAACAACTTCCACAGTCCCCGCGGCTCAGGATGCCACTCACCGGGGGCCACACTCACCGCGCGCCGAAGCTTTCTCGCGCTACGCGCAAGCCCTCTGTTTCCTACCTTCTCCGCTTCAGGAATTCGTGGACTGCAGCGACTCTAACCTGCTCCAGCCGCACTCCTCTTACAGCCACTCGCCTACTAAACAGCCGGGCAGGCACCTCCCTAGGAATGAAGAGATGGAGGAAAGAAAATTTCGCGCCAAACATCGTGGCCCCACCCCAAGGCTGTCTCCCCATTCCGTCATCAGCCAGCCTTCCCGCCCCGCCCACCTAAGGGAAAGCGCGTGACGTACTCCGCAAGCGTGTAACAGCCATCATTGATTCGGTCAACGGCGTCGTACGCGGAGGAAGTTCCGTATGCGACAGCATTTCCGGTTTCAAGATAGTCGCTTAAGCGGAAGAGTTCGTCTACGTATCGGCCGCCCTTTCAGGATTTTTTTACCTGGATGTGACGCATTAAAGGGCCCGACGGAAGTAGAACTGAAGGCGTTCTGAAATGGCGAACCGAACAGTGAAGGATGCTCATAGCATCCATGGCACCAACCCTCAATATCTAGTGGAAAAGATCATTCGGACGCGGATCTATGAGTCCAAGTACTGGAAGGAGGAGTGCTTTGGCCTTACGGGTGAGCGGGAGCGCAGCAACCCCCCTCGGCCGCCTTGTGGCCCAGTTATCTTGACTGGGCGCCGGTAGGACTAGCTCCCTGAGAGTGAGACTGGAGGACAGTCTGTCAGCCATTAAGAAAAATCTGAGCGCCCACTATGTGCCCAATCTTGTGTTGGGCATGGGGAAGGCAAATGAATCTGATAGGGGCTTACTTTGAAAGGTGTCCTTACTTGGGTTCTTTGAGGCTTTCCATGTTTAGTGATAACATGCAGGGTTAAGCTCAGGGACCCTAGAGGTCTTTTAAAGGTACATCAGCATACCCGAAACCGGATTCATGACCTTAGTGTCCGTAAATCTGGACCATTTGCAGTGTTGCCTTGTTCGGGTCCTAATAGAAACATCACTTCTTCAAAGAACTCTTTCAGATAGTCTTTCAATCTTTGTTGAAATTCTGCATCCCCTTTTCAGTAGGTGTTTCTTCATGGCTTCCTCTTCTGTAAAACAAGTACAGTAACACCCACCTCAAAGGGCTCTTGTAAACAGTAAGTGCAATAATGTATTCGAAGATTTGGTATAGTTACAGGTATATATTAACAAAAAGTTCTCAGCGTGCTGTGGTAATGTGGTGCTCGCTGTTACTGCTGTTAACTGTCCTGTGCTGTCATTGCTGCTACCCTACTCCTACCTGTGTGTCCCTGGATGAGTCATATTGTTTCTCTGAGTCACCATTGAATTTTGGAGTCGTGTGAGGTTTACTTTTGGGGCCATTCTCATTCCATAGCTCACTCCTTGGATAATCAACTCCATGCCACAGTACATCCTGTGCGTAGTACCTTAAAATTGATTTTTCCAGCTCGTATCTCTCTGAGATCTAAATCTCTAATTCCAAGATATGCCAACACAGTAGGTCCAAAAGTAAGCTCATGACTTTTTTCCCCACACTAGGTTATTCCCTTTATATTTGCATTGCTTTCAGCATCTTCTTTAAACTGCTTATCACACTTTTTTAGAATGCTTTCTGCCTTGCCAGACTGTAAACTCCCTAATAGTAATTATGTCCCTCTTCTTTATCCCTTGACCTGTATCTCTAGTACTTAGCACCTAGCTACTATAAGCTGTCAGCTGTAATGTTGAATGAATTAATATAGAATTTATCCTTAAGGAACTTGAAGTCTGATTTATGAAACGATTTCCTATTAATGGTATCCAACATTTATTATTTGCTGAGTGTCAGGTAGGTATTAGCATTTGTATGGTCTCATTTTGGTTCTCAGATAGCCCTTAAACTTTATTCTTTATATATATTAATCAAATTTGAATTGACAGACTCAGAGAGAGATGAAATGAAACAGCTAGTGTTTGATTTCGATATTGGGAGGTTATTATTCCCATTTTGTAGAAGAGATTTGCTCAAGGTTATGGAGCTGTTGAAGAGTTGTTTGTTATTGTTTTGTTTCTTTAAACTCTTAATCTGGCAGTTGTTCCCCTAACATTATGATGACAAATGTGGACTCTGAGGTTAGACTGCTTAAAGCTACGCCTTTCTTGTTTTCTAGCTGTGGACCTTGAGCAAGTCACTTAACCTTTCTTAGCCCTCATTTTTCTTAGCTGAAAACGGGCAGTGCTAGAACTCACCTTATGGGTCGTTGTGAAGATTAAGTGAAATAATGTGAAATGCTTGGTAGAATACCTGTAACACAGCATAGGCATATGGTAATTCTTCAGTGTATGTTAGCTACTATTATTACCCATATATACACTTGTTCTCCTAATATTAAATTGCTGATGAGTATTCAGGAGCACTAAACTTTGAAGTAACTTCAAACCGTTTTTGTGGTTTGGTCCTAATATGTTTGAGATGCCACTCTTGTTTTTGTTTTTGTTTTTGCTTTTTTTTAGCTGAACTTGTAGTCGACAAAGCCATGGAGTTAAGGTTTGTGGGTGGTGTCTATGGTGGCAACATAAAGCCAACTCCTTTTCTGTGTTTGACATTGAAGATGCTTCAGATTCAACCCGAGAAGGATATCATTGTAGAGTTTATCAAAAATGAAGATTTCAAGTGAGTGAAATGTTGACTAGCTAATATAAAAGCTTTAATTTTAGTGGTTCAGAATTTGGCTTTGGTTAAGAGGAGTGTAAACAATGTATCTCATTTCCACAGAGATTCCATTCTAGGAATTTGCTCTTGAGCTCATATTTTGTCTGTTCTGATTGTATTGGTCTTACTTTCTCAGTCCTGGTAACTTTTCCCCAAAACAACTATTTCATAAACTCACTGAACATATATTAAGCAGAAGTGACTACCTAGTACGTTAGTAGCACTGGACACTCAAGGATGAAGAAAACAACATAGTATTGTAGATAAGCTTGGTGTTAGGTATAGGTTCATGTCCAGACTCTGTATTTATTAACTGTGACCGTGGAGAAGTACTTGATTTTCTAAGCTTTACTTCCTTTACTTGTAAAACGGATACAGTACACCAAATCAGGACTCATGTGCAAGTTAAAGAACATAATGCTATAAATCTCACAACACAGTGCCTGTTGTATGGTAGACACCCCCAAAATGTCAGCTGCTCTTATTTTATTATCCTTTATCAAGGTACTCAGACAAGTATAGGAGACAGACAATAATAGCTTATTATGTGGCACTCTCTATAGAAGGATTACATGTAATAATTAATTTAACTTTCATAACAACTCTGTAAAATTATCACCTTCTTTATACAGGAGAAGAAACTTAGGCACAGAGAAATTAAGTGATTTCCCCAAGGTCAAACAGCTATAAGTGGCAAAGCTGGTTTCAGAGTCTATATTCTTTGCTGTGTATTTCTGTTGGTCATATAAAGAAACTGCTTAGTTTCAAATGCCTGCTGATAATTGAAGTGGAAGTCTGAATGGGTAGTTTGCTATAGGAGAAAGGGAAAAGGAAGGAATCTTAGAAAACATTAACAGCTAGAAAATAGCTATCCTTATTAGGCACTTACTATGGGCTATATGCTGTGCTTAGCACTATACACATTTCTTTCTTACTACACCAAGCCAGCAAATTAAGCCCTATCATCTCTATTTCACAAAGATTGAGAAAACAAGGAACTGGCCCAGTGTCAACAAAGTTAGTAAATAGTGGAAGAAGAAGTTGAACCCAGATGAGTTTCACTTTTTTCCAAAACCATCATTCTGTTGCCTAGCAAGAATTTATATATTATTGTTTATGTGTATTCATTTTTATATTATTAGTAAATATAATTTATACTTTGTTTTTGAGTTTGAGTATTTCATTTGGTTCTTATAATAATCCTGTGAAATAAATAGGTTCTGTCTAGTGTTACATATGACTCTGGAAGTTGAGCAACATGTCCTAAATGACTGCAGCCAGTAAGTGGTAGAATGGGAACTTGGACCAAGTTCTCCATAATTACCTGTCTTTCTACTGCCCCATACTGCCTCTGAAATTGCAGCTTTCTCATGCCAAAGAGAAGAAAGAACTTGTTTATTTACTGCTATCATGAGAACAGGCTGTCATAAAACTCAGGAGCTTTTTAGGATGGCATATCATTTCACTGTCATTTATCTGTCAGGTATGTCCGCATGTTGGGAGCACTTTACATGAGGTTGACAGGTACTGCAATTGATTGCTACAAGTACTTGGAGCCCCTGTACAATGACTATCGAAAAATCAAGAGCCAGAACAGAAATGGGGGTGAGTATAGTGCCAAGTGTCTGGACCTTCATCCCTAAGCCAGTTGTTATTTTGCCATCATCTATCCCTCGCATTGTCACATACATTGTAACTACTCCTCTTCATCCGTTACTGTTTTCACCCAGGTCCTCATGGGGAATACTCCATTAGACTACTAGCTTTCTGTTGGCCTTACCCAGTCTCCCCATGTCTGCCTACCTTACCCTCTGCATCTTAGGTTAATCCCTACCTTGTGTCATGTGCTCCATCCCATAAAATCTAGCTCCAGAATGACCTTCTCCATAAAATTCTTCCCTAAACCTCCCCAAAGTTAGTTTTCAATGTTACGACTGCACAATTCTTTCTACTAGCCTTTCCTCTAGCACTTTACCTCGCACTGTAGTACACAGACTAAACACGCTCAAATTTATGTGGGAATCCCACTGAAAAATAGTAAGTCTATCTAAGAGGGACAGCTCCATGCCTGTTATAAAGAGATACTTTTTGTTGTAAAGGGCAATTTGAGATAATGCAGTCAAAACCTTTTCTCAGTGTCATAACAAAGAATTAGTAACATTTGCCTTTCCCCTCTATGTGTAACATTAAACAGTAGAAGATACAAATTTGATACTATAAACTTTCATTAACTTACTAATTAATTTATTAAATACATATCAAGTGCCAATGTCATGTCAGTTAACTGTGCTGTGTACTGGAAATAACATAAATAACATAGTGAACAAGATGAACGTAACATGGCCAACATGGAATTACTTATCTATGATTATATTATATTAAACTAAGATAGGATTGCTCATTCTATTGATAGTTTGGGGCCAGATAATTCTATATTGCAGGAAGCTGTTCAGCACCTTGTAGGATGTTTAGAAGCATCCCTGGCCTCTACCCACTAGATGCTAATAGCACCCCCACTAGCTGT